AGTTCAGACAAAATGTAGTCCACTGGAGAAGGGAATGGCAAACCATTTCAGTATTTTGCCTTGAGAACCCCATGAACAGTATGAAAAGGCAAAAAGAGAGGACACTGAAAGATGAACTTCCCAGACCAGTAGGTGCCCAGTAAGCTACTGGAGATCAGTGAAGAAATAACTCCAGAAAGAATAAAGGGATGGAGCCAAAGCAAAAACAACACCCAACTGTGGATGTGACTGGTGATGGAAGCAAGGTCCAATGCTGTAAAGAGCAATATTGCATAGGAACTTGGAATGTTAGGTCCTTGAATCAAGGCAAATTGGAAGTGGTCAAACAGGAGATGGCAAGAGTGAATGTCAACATTTTAGGAATCAGCCACTAAAATGGACTGGAATGGGTGAATTTAACTCAGGTGACCATTATATCTACTACGGTGGGAAACAATCCCTTAGAAGAAATGGAGTAGCCCTCATAGTTAACAAAAAAGTCTGAAATGCAGTACTTGGATGAAATCTCAAAAACACATGATGATCTCTGTTGATTTCCAAGGCAAACCATTCAGTGTCACAGTAATCCAAGTCTATGCCCCAACCAGTTATGCTGAAGAAGCTGAAGTTGAACGGTTCTATGAAGACCTACAAGACCTAGAACTAACATCCAAAAAAGAAGTCCTTTTCATTATAGAGGACTGGAACGTAAAAGTAGGAAGTCAAGAAATACCTGGAGTAACAAGCAAATTTGGCTTTGGAATACAGAATGAAGCAGGGCAAAGGCTAATAGAGTTTTGCCAAGAGAATGCACTGGTCACAGCAAACACCCTCTTCCAACAACACAAGAGAAGACTCTTCACATAGACATCACCAGATGGTCAACATTGAAATTGGACTGATTATATTCTTTGCAGCCAAAGATGGAGAATCTCTACAGTCAGCAAAAACAAGACCAGGAGCTGACTGTGGCTCAGATCATCAACTCCTTATTTCCAAATTCAGACTTAAATTGAAGAAAGTAGGGGAAAGCACTGGACCATTCAGATATGACCTAAATCAAATCCCTTACAATTATACAGTGAAAGTGAGAAATAGATTTAAGGGACTAGATCTGATAGACATAGTGCCTGATGAACTATGAACAGAGGTTCATGACATTGTACAGGAGACAGGGAGCAAGACCATGCCCAAGAAAAAGAAATGCAAAAAGGCAATATGGTTGTCTGAGGAGGCCTTACAAATAGCTATGAAAAGAAGTGAAAAACAAAGGAGAAAAGGAAAGATATACCCATTTGAATGCAGAGTTCCAAAGGATAGCAAGGAGAGATAAGAAAGCCTTCCTCAATGATCAATGCAAAGAAATAGAGGAAAACAATAGATAGGGAAGACTAGAGATCTCTTCACAAAAATAGAGATTCCAAGGGAACATTTCACTAAAAGATGGGCTCAATAAAGGACAGAAATGGTATTGACCTATCAGAAGCAGAAGATACTAAGAAGAGGTGGCAAGAACACACAGAAGAACTGTACAAAAAAGATCTTCACAACCCAGATAATCACAATGGTGTGATCACTCACCTAGAGCCAGACATCTGGAATGTGAAGTCAAGTAGGACTTTGGAAGTATCACTACAAACAAAGCTAGTGGAGGTGATGGAATTCCAGTTGAGCTATTTCAAATCCTAAAAGATGATGCTGTGAAAGTGCTGCACTCAATATGCCAGCAAATCTGAAAAATGCAGCATTGGCCACAGGACTGGAAAAGGTCAGTTTTCATTCCAATCCCAAAGAAAGGCAATGCCAAAGAATGCTCAAGCTATCACATGATTGCATTCATCTCACACACTAGTAAAGTAATGCTCAAAATTCTCCAAGCCAGGCTTCAACAGTACGTGAACCGTGAACTTCTAGGTGTTCAAGCTGGTTTTAGAAAAGGAAGAGGAACCAGAGATCAAATTGCCAACATCTGCTGGATCATTGAAAATGCAAGAGAGTCCCAGAAAAACATTTATTTCTGCTTTATTGACTATGCCAAAGCCTTTGACTGTGTGGATCACAACAAACTCTGGAAAATTCTGAAAGAGATGGGAATACCAGACCACCTGACCTGCCTCTGGAGAAATCTGTATACAGGTCAGGAAGCAACAGTTAGAACTGGACATGGAACAACAGACTGGTTCCAAATAGGAAAAGGAGTACGTAAAGGCTGTATATTGTAACCTTGCTTATTTAACTTCTATGCAGAGTACATCATGCGAAATGCTGGGCTGGAAGACGCACAGGCTGGAATCAAGATTACCGGAAGAAATATCTATAACCTCAGACATGCAGATGACACCACCCTTGTGGCAGAAAGTGAAGAAGAACTAAAGAGCCTCTTGAGGAAAGTGAAAGAGGAGAGTGAAAAAGTTGGCTTAATACTCAACATTCAGAAAACTAAGATCATGGCCTCTGTTCCCATCACTTCACGGAAAATAGATGGGGAAACAATGGAAACAGTGGCAGACTTTATTTTGGGGGGCTCCAAAATCACTGCAGATGGTGACTACAGCCATGAAATTAAAAGATGTTTGCTCCTTGGAAGAAAAGTTATGACCAACCTAGACAATAGAGACATTATTTTGCCAACAAAGGTCCATCTAGTCAAGGCTATAGTTTTTCCAGGTGTCATGTATGGATGTGAGAGTTGGACTACAAAGAAAGCTGAGTGCTGAGGAATTGATGCTTTTGAACTGTGGTGTTGGGGAAGACTCTAGAGTTCCTTGGACAGCAAGGGGATCCAACCAGTCAATCCTAAAGGAAATCAGTCCTGAATATTCATTGGAAGGACTAATTTTGAAGCTGAAACTCCAATAGTTTGGCCACCTGATGAGAAGAACTGACTCATTTGGAAAAGGCCCTGATGCTGAGAAAAACTGAAGGTGGTAGAAGAAGGGACAACAGAGGATGAGATGGTTGGATGGCATCACCAACTCAGTGGACATGAGTTTGAGTAAACCCAGGGAGGTGGTGATGGACAGGGAGGCCTGGCATGCTGCAGTCCATGGGGCCACAAAGAGTCAGGGAGGACTGAACTGAACTGAACTGATCATGTCAGAAGTCTTTAAGAGAAAGAGGCATACAATGGGGAGTCTGAGCCCTTAGGTGGGAGTGGGGTGAGGGGGGAAGTGTTTTGGATTATAACCTTATCAGAAGAATAAAGCAACTTTACGTAAGACCACAATGGATATGTGTATGCCAGAAGTCCCAAGAGAAGGGAATGATCATTTCTAAATGAGTGAGATTAAGAAGACTTCAAGGTGGAGTCACCTTGAACTCGGAGGCAACATTCTGAAATGTTAGTAACAGAAGCAGATAAGTTCAAGGAACTGCAGCACTACAATTAGGTTAAAGTGGAAAGAGGGTTAGGCGCCGTGAAGAAATCTTGAAACTTGAAGCCACAGTGTGAAAATAATGTTATAGATTCTTATCAGTCAAGGTTTTTATTGGCTGTTACAGGAATCTGAAATTTATCTTTGCTCCCAGTTTTATTGTTTTCAAAAACTATGTTGATCAGTCAATTTTCATATGAAACTGAGCAAAATAGAAGAAATGAAGTTGGGGAAAAGAGGTGAAATGGACACAAGACAATCAGATAACAGTTTCTAGGTTAAAGACACTGGAGGAAGCAAACCACTTAGGGTCAAAAAATAAAGATTATTTTTTCATAATGGAAAAAACAGCATTTAGGAATGTTGGATGATTTATTGTCATACATTCCTAAGGGTTATGCTTTTTGTTGTTAAACTTCTGTTGAAAACAGTATCTTTGCCTAAGTATCTAATGACAAATCCTCTTTGGAATGTGATTTCAAATTCTTTTTGGAATATCTGAAGACTCTCAAAAGAACTTGAAATGTGTTCTTGTTACCTATAAAATGTTAGAAACACTTGCCTTTCAAAACAGCAGCTGCAGGGTGAACATCTAGAAAGCAAACCCAGAGAGGCTCCCCTTCTTTTTTCTGTTAACCCAAGTAGTCTCTATATATTTTTCTATCTCTTTTTTCTACACCTTTTAATATTAACCAAAAGTGATGAATGGCGGGTGTGGAAGGAAGGGGACTGGAGAAACCCCATCCATTTGAAAGAGTTCATTCTTTTTACTCTGTTTTGCAGAGTGTCATTTTAAATAAGTGCTAGCCAGGAGAAGGTTTTTATTGTTTTGAACCGCAGGCTTTATATTACCTTAAAAGAAAAAAAGAAAACCTCTCAGCTGCAAGTTGGATGCTTCTGGCAGCAATACAAATCTAGCACCACCCAGGGAGGGAGCGTATTTGCTTCTTCGCTCACTTCTGGCAGGGCAGAGGAATGCTGGACATCGAGAGACAAGAAGGGAGGCTGTCCAGAGCATTGCCACGCTGCTTCCCTATCCCTCGCCTTGGGCCTCCTCCCTTGTGAACACACAGGTAAGGACATTGAGGTGCTGATGCAAGTGGAGCATCCTAGCTCACTGTGACCAAGTCAGGGAGGAAGTCAAGTGCAATGCACTGAGGATGCCTGCTAGGTCTCAACACCCTCAGGAAGCTCAACCTGGCCTGGCTAAGGTCATAGGGTTCTCATTCCTTCCACCACGCTGCTAAAAAGGGCCTGTGTTTCTTAGCCTTTCTATCTTTGTGTATCACTTTGAAGCATGCTTTTCTCTAGACTGTTAAGAAAAACATTGAAACAGCCACTGAATGTTTGCATTTTGACAAATCGGAGGCTAGTTGTTCATCTGTTTTTCTTTTGTATTCAGAAATCAGAGCTGACAGCAATCTTGACTGCTGAAAGTAAAATATCATCTAAAGTTTCATTTTCAATGTAGTGTTATAAAATACTACACGTGGATAAAATATAAAATTTAACATTAGACAGGGAACTGAAAAACTACAGAGATAAAATGTTCCTATTATATGGCAGTCGTCTCTAAATATAAGGTTCCATATTATAAATTTGGGTTCTTAATGAATTTTTTATATCATCAATTCTGTTTCCACTTAGATGTCAGAAACTGAGCTGGAAAAGATAAAAGTCAGAACAGCTGAGCATTTTGAAAATGACAAAAATAACATTTCTTGGTTGAAGGAAGGTAAGTTCTCTTACTGTTGATTTTCTATCAATGTGAAAATTGTGCCTTTGTTTATAAGCAAAAAAGAGAAGGCAGAAGGAGGAAAAATGCCCTGCAGTTCAAATGATATTAATACTTCTGGTTTTCTGTTTCTTTTGGGTTTTTTTTTGGCCTAAGTGGTAGATTGAGGGTGTTTAGTATTGAAACGCTTTTTGTATGTCTTAGGCTGCAGGACACTCAGATGATTTTATGGGTAGGGGAATATATACTTCCAATTCAGATACACGTTACCTATAAGGTTCTTGTTGTGCTAGAGAATTTTCTCCTTTGTAGCCAGGAAGATGAAATCATTTGAGGACAAGTAATTTTTAAATAACAATCACAGAAAGGAGTGCAGGCTGTAGGAAGTCATGTCTACAAATAGAATTGTCATTCACTGCAATTACAGAGCCACCTTCCCAGGGGAGAGTGCTGTCGGCCACAAGCACTGTGTGCGTAAGATGCCTGCTTGAAATACACACACAAATCGATAAGTCCTCCTAGGAGGAGTACAAATTTGTGCACTTTCGAAAACACGTATAAACTCATGATTATTTACTAGAAGGCTTTATTTCATAATCTTTTCTTTTTATAAATACCTTTAATGTTTCTTAAAGGAAGCTGATTTGATATTTTATTTAAATAGATAAGTTGTCTCTTTTACCCCATTTCCTGAATCTATTCAATTGTTAAAAGATGGCTCTTAAGTAGTTGTCATTCCTCAAAACTGTTTTCTAAGGTCACAGGAGACTTTAATATATATGTCAAGTAAGTTCTATTACATCAAACATCATCATCATTAATACATCAAACACAATGACAATGTGCATTAGTGATTATGCTGAATCATCAAAACAACCTTATAAAGCACTAATTACTCCTAATATTCAGGTGAGAAAACAGAATCTCAAAGCGTTTAAGTAAATTACCTAAAATTACAAAATTAGGAAGTGACAGAGCTGGGATTTGATCCCAGACCGTAAGACTCCGTAGCATATAAATTTAACTACCACCTTTCACTGTGTTTCAAAGAAAAGATGTTTAAGTCACTTGTCAGGACATGATTGTGCTCAAAAACTTTCCTGAAGTGTTTAAATCAACACCTTCACTTTCACATATACATCTTCCATCCACTCTTATTCTTAATTGCTCTTTACCACCACTGTCATTTTTCAACTGTTCACTCTTTTAAAAAAGATTATCCTTCTGCCCCAGGGCCCCATAATAAAATTTAATAGCTGGGACTCATCTCTAGTGAAGACTTTATTTCAGGTTAAAAGTGGGTACAGACATGAAGTATTCTCAGAATCATTTCCTTCCAAAAGCCACAGAGCTAAGAAATCCTTTTTTTTTTAATTTTAATTAAACAATCTTTTAAATACAATCTTAAAAAAAAAAAAGAAGTAAAAACAAAAACTGAACTTAGGCTAAAGATCCCCCTGTGTTTTTGTTGGGAAGACCAAACCCACCAAGACAGAGGAGTTCTTTACTGCTACTTATAGGAAAGTTTATCTTCTTTTGTTTTGCTCCAGCTGCTCCATGCTATAGATGTATCGTAGAGAAATAATGACAAAATTGATAGACCAGTCAATTGCTTCCTGAAAATTTTTGTTTTTAAAAAACTGTCTCTACTAAGTACAACTTAGGATTGAATTCTTGTATTCTACAAAATCTAATTTCCCAGGTGACCTGTTTTATCCCATTTGGACACAATTTAATCTACATTCAAATTATGTTTACTGTATTTCATTAATTGTGAATTATCAGGAGGAGTTAGTTTTTGAACATAAATGTCTTTTCATTTAATGTTAAGAAAAAGTTTATATGTTGGCTTATTAACAAAAAAATAGACTGGTGCAGTGGCAATAATAGAGGATTTGAAGTCACGTAGGTGAAGTTTTAAATTTTCTGCTCACTTGTTTGCTAGCTGGTGACTGTACTGTTACTTAACCTCTCTGAGCTTCAGATTCCTTAGCCAAGGAGTATAATATCTACCTTGTGAAACTATGGGGAGGATAGACCATTATTTCGTGTCTTTTATCCCCTCTTTAAAGCATGGTTCAAAATCAAATAATTATTTTTTGAGATTCTGGTTCATAGTTTGAACAATGAGCACTACGATCAATGCTATATGTTTTTATAGCACTGTCAACAGAAAGCACTGTCAACAGAAAGAGACGACAAGGCAGTTTATCTGGGATCTTAGAATTGCAGTTTGGGGAATCACAGATTTGGATGGAAACCAGAAAAGTGTCTGGTCACAGAAAATGGGCAGGGGGATTATGGGGAATAGAGGAAGATCGTGCAGGCTACACAAGCTGGTGACTGAAGATCTGGACAGGAGAGTAAATCTGTTCCACATATGACTCGGCTATCGAGCTTACTTATCTTTTACTGGGGATAGGTGGGATTTCCTTAGTACAGAAAAAGCACAGTTCTTAGCACTATTCTTTCCTTCTGGCAACTCAGCCAACTATTCAGTCGCTTTATTTTCCCATGTTCAGTCAAAGTTCAGCATGGGCAGCAAACATGGAGGTCCTTCTTGCTTGCCTCTGTCATTCCTGCCATTGTTTCTCTCACAGCATTTCATGTAAATTCCTTCCTTTTGTCCCTGCAACCGTTTGGTGTGCTGGATATTGGTCCATTCTCCAGATTAAAAGACAGAGGCTCAGAGAAACTAGTTTTATTTTTTAATCACAAAAAAATGCTTTTATTTATTTAGCTTCTTACAATACTCACATATCAGAAACTGAAAAATTCATATAAATGTTTAGTCTCTAAGTCATGTCCAAATCTTTGGCAACCCCATGGACTGTAGCCCACCAGACTCCTCTTTCCATGGGATTTCCCAGGCAAGAATACTGGAGTGGGTAGCCATTTCCTAGTCTTTCCCAGTCTACTGTTTTCCTCTACTTCTTTGCATTGATCACTGAGGAAGGCTTTCTTATCTCTCCTTGCTATTCTTTAGAACTCTGCATTCAAATAGGTACATTTTTTTTCTCCTTTGCCTTTCGCTTCTCTTCTTTTCACAGCTATTTGTAAGGCCTCCTCAGACAACCATTTTGTCTTTTTGCATTTGTTTTTCTTGGGAATGGTCTTGATCCCTCCTTCCTGTACAGTGTCACGAACCTCCAACCATAGTTCTTCAGGCACTCTATCAGATCTAATCCCTTGGATCTATTTCTCACTTCCACTGGATAATCGTAAGGGATTTCATTTAGGTCATACCTGAATGGTCTAGTGGTTTTCCCTACTTTCTTCAATTTAAGTCTGAATTTGGCAGTAAGGAGTTGATGATCTGAGCCACAGTCAGCTCCTGGTCCTGTTTTTGCTGACTGTATAGAGCATCTCTACCTTTGGCTGCAAAGAATATAATCAATCTGATTTTGGTACTGACCATCTGGTGGTGTCCATGTGGAGAGTCTTCTTTTGTGTTGTTGGAAAAGGGTGTTTGTTATGACCAGTGTGTTCTCTTGGCAAAACTCTGTTAGCCTTTGCCCTGCTTCATTCTATACTCCAAAGCCAAATTTGCCTGTTACTCCAGGTATTTCTTGACTTCCTACTTTTGCATTCCATTCTGCTATAATGAAGAGGACATCTTTTTTGTGTGTTAAGTTCTAGAAGGTCTTGTAGGTCTTCATAGAACCATTCAACTTCAGCTTCTTCAGCATTACTGGTTGGGGCATAGACTTGGATTACTTTGATACTGAATGGTTTGCCTTGGAAACCAAACCAAAAGAGATCATTTTGTCATTTTTGAGACTGCACCCAAGTTCTGCACTTTGGACTCTTGTTGACTATGATGGCTACTCCACTTCTAAGGGATTGTTTCTCACCATAGTAGATATAATGGTCACCTGAGTTAAATTCACCCATTCCAGTCCATTTTAGTTCACTGATCCCTAAAATGTCAATGTTCACTCTTGTGATCTCCTGTTTGACCACTTCCAACTTATCTTGATTCATGGACCTAACATTCCAGGTTCCTATGCAGTATTGTTCTTTACAGCATCAGACTTTAGTTCCATCACCAGTCACATCCACAGCTGGGCATTGTTTTCCCTTTGGCTCAGATCTTCATTCTTTCTGGAGCTATTTCTCTACCCTTCTCCAGTAGCATATTCAGCACATACCAACCTGGGGAGTTCATCTTTCAGTGTCATATCTATTTGCTTTTTCAAACTGTTCATGGGGTTTTCAAGTCAAGGATACTAAAGTGGTTTGCCATTCCCTTCTCCAGTGGACCTCATTTTGTCAGAACTCTCCACCTTGACATGTCTGTCTTGGGTGGCCCTACACAACATGGCTTATAGTTTCATTGAGTTAGACAAGACTGTGATCCAAATGATCAGTTTGGTCAGTTTTCTGTAATTGCAGTTTCCATTCTGTCTGCCCTCTGATGGCTCCTTAGAGGCTTGTAGAAGCTTCCCAATAGGAGGGACTGGCTGTGGGGGACTCTGGGTCTTGCTCTGATGGGCAGGGCCAAGCTCAGTAAATATTTAATCCAATTTTCTGTTGATGGATGGGGCTGTGATCCCTCCCTGTAGTTTGACCTGAGGCCAACTATGCTAATGGTAATGGTGACCTCCTTCAAAAGGATTTATGCCAGGACTGTTGTACTCAGTGGCCCTGACCCCATGGAAGGCACTGTTGACCCACACCTCTGCTGGAGACTCCTGGACACCCATAGGCAAGTCTGGCTCAGTCTCTTATGGGGTCACTGCTCCTTTCTCCTGGGTCCTGGTGCACACAAGGTTTTGTTTGTGCCCTTCAAGAGTCTGTTTCCCTAGTCTTATGTAAGTTCTGTAATCAAATCCCACTGGCCTTCAAAGTCAAATTCCCTTGGGGTTCTCAGTCCTTTTGCCGAATCCCCAGGTTGGGAAATTTGTTGTGGATCCTAGAACTTTAACAGTGCGAGAACTTCTTTGGTATAATTATTCTCCAGTTTGTAGTTTGTCTGCTTTGTGGCTCTGTAGTCAGGT